TGATTTTAATAGTTTATTTATAAAATTAAAAATAAAAAATAAAAAAAATCTCACTGAACAAATGAAAATATTATTAAAATATACAAATGAAAAAAAAATGAGTACAATTTTTCAAAATTGCATATGCTATGTAACTTGTGCCATAGGATTTCATCAAAAAGGTTAACGAAAGTTTGTTAAATAGATGAATTTAAAATGATTTTAATAGTTTATAAATAAATTTAAAAGAAACTAAATAATTTATATTAAATTAAAAATAAAATAATAATTAGTAGATGAAAAATTAAATTTAGCCCTTCTCTGAGTGATGAAAAGATTTAGGAAGACCATGAGACTTTTGGTGGGTGTCTTCGGCGGGCAAAAGGTTATGGACACCACCCAAAATCTACATTAAGGTCGGGTAAACCATATATTTAACTTTTTATTTTATTAAATTTGAAAATTTTAGTAAAATCTTTTAACCTTTAAACTTAAAGGTTAAAAATTTTATAATATAAAATGAGAAATTAAAATTTTTAAATTTATTAAGATAAAAAATTAATTATATATTTTAACTTATTAAGATCACTAGAAATGATAAAATATTATTTTTAAAAATATTAATTTTGTTTAATTTAACTAATAAAAATAATTAATAATTAATAATTAATAAATTAAAATTATATACAAACTAATATTTTCAGATATTGTTTAATTCATCATGTTTCTCTTTCAAAGAAGGCAACACCTAATCATAAAAAATACATAAGGCATTGAAAAATTAAAAATAGTACTATTTCTTATCAAAAATTTCAAATCAAAGAGACTGACACATGATTATGAATTTGATCAATATGATTGCTAAACTACCGCAATCTGGTTTTACGAACAAATCAATATAATTTAACCACATAAGCTGAATAAACAGCATAAAACTTAAAAGCAATATCGTCAAATCCTCACCGTTGACGTGATGTATTCTTCAAAAGACTCTCTGTACTTGTCGTACAGGTGCTGGGAATAATCATGAGGCGGCTTTTGTGTACACATGTTACAGATGGTTCTTTAAAATATAATTAAGGCAACAAATTCTGCAGGATTGCATCATGTGCCATTAAAACAAAGTTCAATTAGTATATTTAAACTCCTAAACAAATAGAATAAAACGGAAATGGATACGTGTAGAGCATCATATAATCCTCAGAGCTGAACTGAGGCTCCGGCAGCCCTTCAAGAATATTCTTCAGTCTTGTGATCCCTTTTTGCATGAAGTCCCATCCTTGTTCAAGGTCGATTGTCTTCCTCTCATTCATAGTCATATTACCACACCCTAATCACTAAACCCAACCACCAGAACCAGCAACGTTAGAACTTAAAATCTGATCATTCACACACATTCAAGCTAAAAATCATCACAAATTCATCAATGCAGAAGCTCAATCAGTTTAAACACTTTAATCAAACAAATTACAGAAACTTCCTCTCCTAAGGTCAAAACCCAATTCACACAATTCATTCTAATTTCATGAAGACCCATCATCAGGAACAAACAAAGAAGGAAAAATTGCTAAAAACAGTTTCCCTAATAATCAGAATTCCATTTCCTTCCTCTTCTTTCAGATATCACTGAAACCGAAACTAAACTGAGGAAAAAATTGAGATTTCAAACAACCATCCGCAAAACACAAGCTCAATCGAATCAGAGATTTACAGGATCAAGAAAATTACAACAGAAAGATGAAGAGGTTCCACAATCAGAAAATACCCCATATCGATACACCTAGAAATTACATAAAGGGAAAGAAAGAAGCTCAAATTGGAGGGAGAAAACCTAGAGAAGATGAGTGAAAGAGGAGCTCCGACAGTGCATTGATGGAGGAAAGGGGAAATTTTCTGCCAAAAGATACTTTCGGGTTCGAATTCAGTAACTATTTCCTTTTTACGAGATTAGTGTAGTTTATCTTGTGTTCTCAAATTTTCTTTAGGTTAAAACTTTATTTTGATTCTTGAACTATTGTACGGATTTTTAATTTGATCCTTAAATTTAAAAAATCTCTAATTTGGTTCCTACTATTTTCATTTTGCCCCGATTTGGTCCTTCCGTTAAATTTTTGTTGAGGTGGCCTGTTAATTGATGGAAAAAAAATGACATGTCCAAATATTTACAATTTAAATGACGTGGCTAAAAACCTGTGCCACCTAATCAAACAAATATAATTATTCAATCCATCAAATTTATAATTTTGCCCTCATCTTCTTCCTTAGCATCCTCCCTCTCGAATCTTCTTCATTCATTCTAAATCAAACAATCATCATCAAACAAAATTCATCGTCATCATCAAACCAAATTGCCTCATCCGAGGCTTGTTGGGTTCGAAAGAACCCAGTGGAGCTGTTGGGTTTTGAAACCCAACAGATCTGTTGGGTTCTCGAACCAAGTAAATGGCCCTCATCTTGTTCCTCAGCATCCTCCTCTTGAATCTTCTTCATTCATTCTAAATCAAACAATCATCATCAAACAAAATTCATCGTCATCATCAAACCAAATTGCCTTATCCTAGGCATGATGGGTTGTTTCGAACCCAGTGGAGTTGTTGGGTTTTGAAACCCAACAGCTGCTGGGTTCAAAACAACCCAGCAGATCTGCTGGGTTCGAGGGCCCTCATCTTCTTCCTCAGCATTCTCCCTCTCGAATCTTCTTCATTCATTCTAAATCAAACAATCATCATCAAACAAAATTCATCATCATCATCAAACCAAATTGCCTCATCCGAGGCTTATTGGGTTCGAAAGAACCCAGTGGAGCCGTTGGGGTTTGAAACCCAGCAGTTGCTGGGTTCAAAACAACCCAGCAGATCTGTTGGGTTCTCGAACCTAACAGAGGGCCCTCATCTTCTTCCTCAGCATCCTCCCTCTCGAATCTTCTTCATTCATTCTAAATCAAAAACAATCATCATCAAACAAAATTCATCATCATCATCAAACCAAATTGCCTCATCCGAGGCTTGTTGGGTTTGAAAGAACCCAGTGGAGCTGCTGGGGTTTGAAACCTAGCAGCTATTGGGTTTAAAACAACCCAGCAAATCCGCTGGGTTTTAGAACCCAACGGTTTTGCTGGGTATGGAACCCAGCGAATCTGCTGGGTTCGATACCTAGCAAATCTGTTGGGTATCGATTGAACCTAGCAGATCAGCTGGGTATGGAACCCAATGAATCCGTTGGGTTTGATACCCAACAATGGTAGAGGAAAGAGAAAGGGCAGAGGAAAGAGAAGAACCTAGCAATGGTAGAGGAAAGAG